TTGTGCATTCTCTAAAACACATGATACGATACACGTTTGTGTGAAAAAATGTCGAAGGGATTCTGCCTACAACGCGTGAAGTAATAAGGAAAAAAGAAAAATCGTACCATCGACGATCTGACATTTTGTAAACCAGCGTAGTCGAGTGGATCACCAGTGATGAATGTAAGTGGACAAATAAAACCCCCTTGCGATGTACAGTGCAACGGTATTTCAATGTATATCCTGATAGGCTCGGTACATGGATTGGGTAAAAGATAAAATGAGTTAATCAAATAAAGATTCTATTCGGGAACTTATCTTTAAATAATATAGTACCCTGGGCTTGATCACTAAACAATGTATTTGTTATAAGCTTGTTAAGGATTTTGCATCAATCAAATCCATGTCCCACTTTGGGGAATAGGGGCCAGAGACCCGCCGCCCCGAGCGTCAGAGTCAAGACCGGTAAACTATTAACTCCCCTTTCCAGAATCAAATGTTCCATTCCAAAAGAATGTGGCATATGTTGCAAATATTATGTAAAAACACACCAGGGAGTATTCTAGCATTTCAATCAAAGCTATCGATTCAATTTTCACACATCGCTCTATTCAGCCGAGATTTACCAGAATGGAAAACAAATTGGACTTATTTACAGGACAATTTCCGAGCTTGAAGCAAATTCATTCTAATGTACATGTAAATTCAAGCAAGGACTGATTTACATTTGCGATGGGTCTCAGGGAATATTGCATTAAATAGCAATCTTTAAACAAGTTTGCTTTTGTCGAAATGATACAGTTGAAAATAAAGGCATACATGAAAAATCGTGTGCTTGCCTAAACACTCGCCCCATGTTCTGTCATGTCATTGAGCATACAATTAAACTCGGCACATCTTCCACATAAAAGGGATACATTAAAAGGTTTAGTATAAGCTTCCGTATAATATAACCTTCATCCATAGCTGGGCATGCATGGCCATGTGTTATCTGAAATACTAGGGCTTGATTTTCTTTTTTTGTCCATGTGTCAGTCTTCAGACCGGAAGATCGCACAAAATCTTACCAGTTGAATTGTTTTACTCTCTGTTCCAACATGTGTGAAAAGGATTTAGCACGAGATCCTTATTTTTCATCTAAATAATTTAGTCTTGAGCTTTAGCCCTTTCACCAACCAGTGCTCCAATAAATATTACATATATATATTCCACTGAAATCCCAGAGAGTGTCTTGAAAGGATCTAGAGTGTGACAGGCACACATCAGTAAGTAGAAAACCACTTAAAACGCGTCCAATGATCGGTGTATTAATGCAATTTTAGAGATTTATCGAAATGGTATAATTAACGTCGGTAGTGTGCTGAGTTTTTAAAGTGTCCTAGTGTACTGAGTTATTTGCATATGTCACTGGCGGATCTGGGGGGGGCAGGGACCTTGGGTGGGCCCAGAAAAAAAACAAATTGGGCCTACAAAACATTTTGAGCCAAAAAAGGCTTTAAAGCCCCCCAAAAAGGGCCTTTTTGTCATAAATGGGCCTTCTAAGGCCTCATTTGCTAACTTTAGGCCAAATTTTGAAGAAAATGGGCCTCAAATTATCAAAATTTGGGCCCACTTTTTGGTTTTAGGGGCCCAAAATTTTAGCGGAAGTTGTTTTCTCAGACCAGAAGTTTGCCCCCCTAGCCTACTCATACTAGCCTATACATTATATATACATGTAGGATGAAAAAGACTAGACGACTGACATAGAAATACTACATGCACTCTCGGGCCACAGGTAGTTTGTGTTTAGTCGGGCTGGATGGATCCCTGATTTTAGATATAAACTGGAGTTCTAGTAACGTCTCGACGTTCAATGACAACATGGGAGGCTATTTGCACTTAAACGCCACATTTGACGTCCTATGCTCAATTCTCGCTTCATTTCATCCACCATGTTCTCAATATGGCCTCAGTGTGTTCACAATATGGTCGTTTATGAAGAACATCCCCTTTCTTCCTTTAGGAAATCTCCATCAAGTAATCACTAAATGACATTCCGGTTAGATCAATACACCATTTGACCCCTAGTTAGGTTTAGTTTAACTAACCATGGCATTGTATTTAATTTTGATTCAATTCTTATATATTTGACCTGCTTTTGGTAATCCATTCGTGATTATTGGCGTTTCAGATTGACTTAATTGTGTTTGGCAATCTGTTTTGGTACTTTGCAATCATATGGACATACATGTAGATATTTCGTATTTCCATTGAAAAATGGAAAATACAAATAAAGAATATAATTCAATTAAGTTGTGTCGCTCAATTGAGATCAGTGTCTTCTCTATAATGTTGATTTCATAAACTCTTCGCAATGGATCAGAACAGGCTTCCAACAAACATACAGGCCATTACATTGAATTGGGTGGCATATTGTGTCTGAGATTGAGCAGATATATTTCAGTAAAATAAATTAATGTGGATATTCTTGATGTTTCTTGGTAAAATGTCAATACCCGGACACTTCAACAAGATAAGACGTTCCCACCCCGAGCTTATATAACGCCCGTCTTTCAATAAATCCCTTGGCAGACTCATCTTTTGGATCTAAATGAATTCTAAAGCTCAATAAGATTGAAGAGTTCTTGAAATTGAGTGAGTCACTGATCATTGTAAAGAATATCTCATCATGGAGTCATATACGTTTATCTATTAGGTCTATGAAGACAAGAGTGAATAGCAAGGATAGTAAATTCTTGTTGATTACAATATCGTCTTATTGTAGGTTATTCACCAAGAGAGATTAATTTGATATATGGTTTTTGTTCCAAGAGACAGTGACATACATAATATTACTGATTAAAAGTGAGCGTATCCAACACATATCGATATTTACATTGTATGAGGATAAATCCCATATTCAACCCCGATGAGAAACCAGCTAATTATCACAGAGAGAGTTACTTGAAAATGATTGAATACGATTCAATATGAATACGATTCGACATGAATTTTGTTTGTTTGACATTTCCCCGAAGAATCTTGTTTTTTAAATATAATATAGTCAAACTTTAACACAAACATTATGGTGCTTGAGATGTCATCCTTGGAGATGTGGATTCAGGTTTATCGTTAAAGATTTTAACAGCTCTCGCCCTTTCAACAGCAAGGAGCAATCGGCCTTTGCATGGTTGGCAAGAGATCACAAGAGCGAAAAGAATCAGATCAGATCTTGGTTTGGTCATCTTTAAACACGAATGCACAGACATCCCATGACGAGGAAGAAGATTATCTCCAAGATTATGTTCAGATTTTGTGTTGAACATAAACGTATATTTCTTTTAAGTATTTAACAACAAAAGAGAGAGAGAGGGGGAGTGACGTGCATAGGGTTTATTTTAACCGATCGACCTCTCTATATCGATATGCCGAGATATCAAATCAGTGAACACTACTAGAATTTACAGTTCTACCATCTAAATACAGGTATAGGGTAACATGTATATCGGTAGATCCCAGAAAAGCGATTACACCAATTTGTAAGATAAACATAAATCCATAAAACGCCCCAGTAAAGAACAGCGATAAGATATACCCAGATGTAGCCTTAGAATTCCCCGGTGCGTATTGGATAACATAAAATGAAGGCGAGGTATATATTAGATTTTTATATATTCATTTCTTTTGTTTGTTAAAACGATTCGGTAGTGCAATTGAGTACGCATACTGTACCAAAGCAATTACACATAATTACACAATTACAATGTACATGTAAGTCTAAATAGTGATTATTGGTGTATTTAAAATCATTTGAGACAGTACCATGGGCCTGTATGTCTTTTTGTGTCCATACCAAAGACATTTCATAAAAACGGTGTACATAGATATAATATGTGATGTATATACTTTTAGCATGTCCATCCCATACATATCATATTGCAACATTTAGGTACTTCATTTCGACTCTTGTCTCTTGGCTGCAATAAAATACTCTGACGTCAAGAACTTGATATCTAATTCACCTGGGTACTTATATCTTTGTGTATGTTACCCATCTACTGTGGGGTAATTTATCAAATACTTATAATAATTCATAGGAATGCAATCAATTTGTGTTCTTGTTGTTTGTCACGAGGGTGCCACAATGCATTCATCTTTCATGTTTTCTTTCCCAGAATGGTCGATTTTACCCATAATGACTGGAAGGAGAACAATCATTAAGAATGTTGGATGCAAATTTAGCAGCAAAAAACTGTTTAGTTTATATAGGGAGTGAGGTATCGACACAAGTAGCAACAAGGGAACTATCGGGAATCAATTTTGGAGGGTGTATGTGTACAGTCGAGATGCTATTTGCCCCTGCCTCAGAATTTTCGATCCATCTTCATTTAATGTTGATGTTTATCGTTTTATATGAAATAAATCCGGTATTTGAGTTTTAAAAATATTATACACGGACCATCGCTTCCCCTTTCCAAATGTAGCTGGTTGTTTGTGTGACAGGGAAAAATCAAATCAAAATTGTTCTATGATAGACTTATAAATGGGACACCAGGGTGTTTTTCGCTGTCTACAGGAAGTGAGTTATATAGTGAGAAAGTAGATAACCCCCTCCAAATATAAATGAGATCTGACATTCACCATTAAACTTGTCGTTTTATCGCCGTATAGATAACAATAACTGTCATTAGCTGGCGTGTCGGCTAATGGAATATGTTGGGGTAGTTTTCGGATATTATTCCTTGGCGTTTGCGTACACAGTGATAAGGTACAGTAGCAAGACTGATATACGGATGGTTAGGTTAACGTGATCTACTATGTAGATTCACATAATAATGTTACAATACATGTTACTTCTACCCTTAGAATCAATAGTTAGGGTCGCTCACATTTACAGCCGGAGGGCTAGTGGATTGTTTGGTCACCATCAGCAAACTACACTATCTCACGAATAAGAAACGATAATGACCGTTATCGTTTCTAGTTCGTCTCCAGTTATTGGTGATGGGATGAGATGACGTATTTTTCACTGAACTTACCTGAAATTACTGCATGGGTGAATGACCCAGTTACCAGCCGCTGTCTGTCGTTGTTTCTCACGCATCAACGCACTTCTATTGCCAAAAAGTTTCATGGCTAACTTGTTGTCAACAGAAGGTTGGAAAAACGATATTATTTGATCCCTAAGAAAACTTCCCCCTGAGTGAACTTTGATGTCACTAGCACTGCTTTCATCGTCTTGGATAGGTAATTCCTCTTTTGGGGTCCCATAGAGGGATGCCTCGTCCCCAATGAACTGAATTCCATCCTTTTTACTCCCAGACATATCGACTGGGGATATCATATTAGGGTCTTTGTAGTTTTGATTTGGGTTTATATAATCGGACATGATTGACTCATCGTCCGATTCCACTGTTATAGTGATAGTCGGGTTAAGTTGACTATCTTGTCCATTCAGTGTCCTGGGTGTGTTAATCCTAGTATTGGTTGCAGTCTGATAATCCGGTAATGAAGGCACCCTTTGTAGTTTAAAGCTGGGTAGCTTGCGGCTCTTGATAGACCCAAACCTCTGACTGATGAAAGAAGATGGTCGAGCCGCAGCACCCGAACTGCTTCCACCCGCTCCCATTGCTTTTCTTATAATACTCGATAATCCGGGAACAGTTCCGTTTTGACTGGCAGTAGAAGTATCGTTAGCTATACTTTCCTGGTGTTGGCTTTGGGTATTATTAGCGCTCTCTTCCTCTGGAGGCGCCCCGGCATTCTGCCTAGTCCCCTGATTATCTACCCCAGTTGTGCTATCACTCGGCAATCCGTTATTGTTTGTATTAGTAGGAGGCTCAGACGGTTGAGAAGTCGATGACGCGCTGCCGCTAACAGGCCCATTGTTGCAATTATGATCAGCCGATTGATTGGAAAGCATCCGCGATTTCACTGACTGAGCTCTTTTGAAACCCTTATTACCTCGTTTCGATTTTCCTTTCAACTCGAAATGAGTGTCATAATCGTCTGTGCCCAATGAAGATGACCTCTGTCTCAAACCTGCGTTTACTTTATCCATTGCACGTTTAATTGATTCTGTATTATCCTGAACCTTTTTTTCAAATTCTTCAACTTCCATTTCTGCTATTGGCATATCAATGTCGGGAGGTCTTTCTAAACATGGAAACTGTGATAGCGGCATATCAATCGCTGCTGTGTTGCCTAACATGCCGTTACCTTTTCTCTTTCCGCTATCCCTTCGGCGTTCGTGTGTTTTATGTTCACTAACTCCTCTCCTCAATAACGCTCGTACTGCTTCCAGATCGACCCCCTTTGGTGAATTCGACGTCATTCTATATAGCTTATAAACCAACGTTGTGGATTGGAATCTTGCTACCTTCTGATAAGATTTTCTTCATCCATAGTCCTGGTACATCCTGTAAAAACCAAAACAAAGATAAGATGCTACTTGACTCAGTAAACATTTCTTTTTGTAAACCACACGATAAAAACCTCAATATATACCTGGGAATACCTGAAATTGCGATATAATATATTCAAAAGTCGGCTCCATAGTAACATTCCGAATCTATGGTGATAGAACTATCACAAACTTTAACATATTAATATTCATAATCATTTCTATCTGAGGGTATCGTTACGTCATCATAGTCAAATGACGTCAAAGGAGTGGTATCGAAATGGTGAGCTTTTTGAACACGCGTTCAAAACATTCTGAAAATTTTACACATCGTCGATCAATTTATTGGTCATCTTTTGGATGGTAACATTATAATTTGAATTATATATATATATACTTTTCTCTCTATTGTTTTAGAAAACACATCAGACACTTCTTTCGTTCTTGGTATCATATGTTCGAAATGAAATGAAACATCTATCTGAACCTCATTGTAACAAAACGACATAAACACTGGGGGGTATCGTGATGCAACAACACCGTGTTGTTGCATCAAGATGGCCAGACTTCCGGTGATAGATTTTCGTACGATGTTTTGTTTTCCCAATTTACACCCATTTCTAGGACGAGTTGCTCAATAATCATACACATGCAGTTAGCACATGATCTATATTTTAAAAAACTGTCATTGGTATACATGTAGCATCATTAAGAAGCGATAAATTCGTGGTTTTAATTCCTCACTATTGATGCAACAACACCACTCTGTTTCTTATCGATGATGCAACAACACCAATGTGCTGATGCAAAAACGCCAATATAATGTATCATTGAACAACAAGAGAAACTGTTTTATGTTCTGTTTACAGGTGTAGGTCGGGACATGAATAAAACGCGTGAGTCAGTGGTCCATGAACGAAACGTATTTTGTTTGGTTTCTTTGTCTATATCAAAGTTAAAAGGATATACAAGGCAAACTAAATAAAGTACAGAATCCCCGAGAGGCAATCTCATTGATATTGTATCTGAAAAATAAAGATTCTACATTTTCTAAATTAAATGCCCTTGATTTACCGTATGGAAATTGCTTACAAATAACTAATATAATTTTGGAAAGACAACAGATATCAGTCATTTTGTGTTGTTAGTACCTCAATTGAAATACTCAATTCTGATTGGTTGATGAGCGGGCAACAAAATGTATTGTTAGTACCTCAACTGAAATACTCGATTCTGATTGGGTGATTAGCGGTCAAAATTATGTACTGTTGACCGCTACTAGGTACTGTTGACCGCTACTTCTGAAAAAAAGTTTCATGACGTCACAAAAACACATGGAAGACGGACATTTTGTAAATGTTGATGAAAATGAGTTTACTAGGCGACAAGTATAGCAAAAATACAAATAGAAACTTAAAATTAACAGTAATTCACTAACGAGTACGCCGTGATGTGCCAAATATAGAGTTAACCTTCTTGCACTGTCTCCATATTTTCTAAAAAAATATTGCTAACGTGGTTCGGAGAAAAGGTTGTGAAATGAAGCCATGCCGATTGATGATCGTCGTCTATATGTGTATTATTAGTTTACTCGGACTAACAAAACAATTGTAGACCTCTCCATTAGATCAACCGTCAAAATCATATACCTCGACTGTAAACCTTGAAACTACTGTTGACCTCGACCTTCGGTCTTTGTCAACAGTATTTTTCGGTTTACAGTCTCGGTATACAATTTTACCGGTTGGCCCCTGGGGAGGTCAACAATTGTAAACTGTTGACCACTACTAGGTACTGTTGACCCCTATTTTTGAAAAATTGTTTTTTAATGTTGAAATTTTTTTAATTTTGAAAAAATAAGGACTAACAGAACAATTGTTAACCTCTCTTTTCGGTCAACTGGCAAAAGTGTCCTCGACCTCTGGTCTTGATCAACAGTACTTTCAAGGTTTACAATATCGGTATACAATTTTGCCAGTTGACCTCAAGAGGGGTCTACACTTGTATATTGTATATCCTTTGTTATCCCACCCAAAGTATGATGTCATATATCAAGTTGAAGAGTTGTATACGCTGCTCAGGAGTTTACGCTATCCAGGAGTTGTACATCGTTCTCAAGAGTTGTATAGGATGAGTGTTGGTTTAATGATATTGCAGTTATACAATGCTATTATATAAAAGTTATTTACTGAGAGTGATTCAATATTGGTTTTATTTCGAGAGACAATATGATATTTCCCGAGGGCCCGGGATATCTGGGATAACTGTACCCCTATCAATTTACCTTTTTGGGCCCTAAATCTTATCACTTTTGTTTACCTTTTTACTCAGTCGGAGAGAAGGAATCCAAAGAGAGCAATAATTCTACATGTGCGTCGTGCAAGATTTCCATCAAACGTGTAACTAAACGGCCTCTCTAATAAAGTCAATTAGACGTTTTTACACGTTGGCTCTCCAAATTGTAGGAAATAAAGAATCATGTCATATTATATCATAGATGAAGCAATCATCCCATCAACATAAGCTCACGAATGTCACAGTTAAACTGTTTTAGTTATAATTTGATAAACAGTGGTAACGTACATCTACTAGTTTATCACTGTTCCACAGATGGATGACAGATAATATCATGATAATATCCAATAGCTCATCATGTTTACCGAGAACGAAAGATGTTTGTCCACCATTTTGAATGATACTAACTGGAGTCGGGGTCATCAAGCTATGGAACAGAGGTTTATGAAAATAGATTGGGTTACTAAAGCTTGCCATGTTAAAGGCGATTGAACTATGTTATAGAATAACGTCCAGTACATTATAATATGTAAAAGTATATATTTTTGAAAATACATATAAAGGATCTTCGCCCGCAGGACGTGTATTTTGAATGCCTTGAGAAGAACGCAAATATGGGTAGGCTAATTGGTAACGGTATTGCAATAGTAGCATTTAAAAATCTGTTCCTCTCGAGATTTATGGTCTTCTGAAATTATACTATTAATTGGTGTTGCTGCATCATTGCTCAAATCTAGAGGAGTGTTGTTGCATCTTCGGTTTGGTGTTGTTGCATCAATAGTGAGGAACTAAAACCGTGAACTTATTGCTTCTTGGTGATGGTACATGTATACTAATGACAGTTTCTTTAAATATAGATCGTGCGCTAACTGCACGTGTATGGTTGTTGACCAACTCGTCCTAGAAATGGGTTTAATTTGGGAAACAAAATATCGTACGAAAATCTATCACCGGAAGTCTGGCCATCTTGATGCAACAACATGGTGTTGTTGCATCACGATACTCCCCAGTGATAAACATAACGTGTTTAGGTCTCTCAATATTGTAATTGTACAAAGGAAAGTTTGGTTGATTTCAAAAAAGTATCTTGTTAATGAACTAAAAGGTAATTTTTATCTATTTTGGGGTGTTTGGTTTTAAGGTTTTGCATACTTTTTGTTAAATCAACCAAAGTGTCATTTGTATAACTATAATATTGAGAGATCTAAGAAAATGTTGTATATGCTATTTTGTTCCAACAAGGTTCGGAAAGACATTTTATTTCATTCGATCAGGAATTGGTAGAAAGGAACAAAAAACCATTGCACTAAAAAACAAAAAATGTTAACAAAAACAGTTATATAAAATATTATGTTATATGATCATGCATTGACCCTAAATGTCATCTTGACTATATATTTCAATCGCGTGCATGTGAAATAAGTTTATGATAACAGCATAATCATGTAATTACGCATACGTCAGAAGGCTAAATTATAAGCAATATCTAATAACTTTTTCCTAGCTTTGTTTAACCGAAATACTATTTTTCTTGGAACAGAATCAGTTTAATTTATTGCTAATTTGTTAAGTTTTGTAGCTCGTAATTAGGAAATTTCCATCGAACCAATGGCCTCGACAAAGAGGATTGGTCCCCAGGGTTCCAATTCCTTGATCTTGATAGACGATATACATCGAAATATATATTTCTGATATCATAAATGACTATAAATTCATAATCAACGATCCAAAAGACTTAAACTAATACCTTTGATCACTTCTTGTGTGTAATTTTGTAATCACAACATGACTCCTTTTGATAATAAGGTCAAGGTCATGACAACAAATGTGGCAGAATATCGAGATGGAACTCTGGGAGCCAATCCTCCTTTGGTCTCGTCCTATATTTGCCGCAAGAGGCGATTCAGTTTTCACACATGCGAAATCTCTTCCTTATGAAACGCCTCTATTTTATATTAATACACTGTACATTGTTCTAGTTTTGTATTCAAAGAGGCGCAAAGAGGATTGGAAACAAAAATTCCAAGATATTTTGTCGCCAGTGTGCATTGAACAATTTGGTAACAATAGTTCCCATATGTTGAAAATAAGCACTGTCAAAGATCTATAGATTAGATACTAGGTCCGAAGATGAATCTTCTAGAAATATTATAACCATATTATAATTGTCCAGCGCCAGGCAACGGAATATTGAATTGAATAATGGCTGCCAATTCTCCGTGATGGCGTCCAAGGGAGGTTCCCAAATTTCGAAGTTGCCATCAAAGTCACGTGTAATTTTTCTTTCATTTCTCCGATACAACATTTTTCGATAGTTGAAAAAATACTAAGGTTATAATTTCATTTTGCTATTACCTAAATAGGTAAATAAGTCGTATTACACGCAACTACTCATAAAAGTGATGGGTTTTGAATAAGAACCGAAATCGAGTGCTCATTAATATTTATCAGAGGCAAAATAAGGCTGAAACAAGGTGCAAGTTATTTTATATCATGGGATATTTTCCTTATGCCAAAGACATTCAATGAATATTCCAAATACCCTACCCCGTATCGGTGTCAACTAGAGAATCTCCTAGTATTATTGGCTCGTGCTGAGGCAAGAGCCATATCTCACTTGGATATAGTAGTAAGTGATAACGACAATGGACTGAGGTTTAAACGTTAGTTTCGGTTAGTTTACTAGTAGAAAACCCGATGGGTTAATATTTGTTGATGAAA